TAAAATTTATCAACAGGAAAAAAATTATTTATTGTTATTTCTGATGCATTTGACGTGTTCGAGTGAATCAAGTACGAAAACATATGTTCAATCAGCATTTAATTTACATATTAAGTTCAAATTAAAAGAACAATTTCTTATTCATTAAAACTCGAAATAAGATTTAACGCAATGAAATGGCTCCATATACTTATGTTACGATAAAACTAATTTGAGTTTATCTGTCAATGAGTGCGAAAAAAAAATCCGCGTACGATCCTTTTTTACAGTACAGTGATTCCTTAATCAGCATTTGCTTGCATTTACTTGTAAATTTTTAAACATTTAAGTTCAGTATCAGTATCAAAGATTATCAAAAACACTTATATATGTCTATATATTAAAAGTGTTTATTAAGTGCAAGCTTTATAAGTGTCTGAAATATATCTTATAGGTATCACTGTTTTTAAGAGGAACATTTAACTAAGAAGCTACTTTAGAAATCGTTTTGAACTGGAAACAGTAAGATTATCATAAAGGAGATGTTGAATTGAATATCATCCGGATTGTAAAATGCGTTCGTCATTTTCAGTTTCTTTTTCTATACCTTTATCTTCTTTGATCAACAGCTGTGTGGACTCTTATATGTTTATCGAGAAACTGAAAAGGATGCTTTCATACTTTTTGAAGGTGAACATTAAGTGATAATGTGTTAAAATAAATAAGAAGTAGCGATGATTGAATCTCTGCCGTCTACTGTTACAATATCATTTGCATACTTTGAGTTAGACATATTTCAAATAAACTAACAACTTCTTCGTTGCTTTGTTTCAAATATGACAAAACAGGCAAGAATCATACACGAATATGACTAAATAACAATACTCTTAATATTACCGTGCAAATATTTAGGTATGGAATACGCTTTTTTTTCTTACAAAAAAAACAACAACAGAAAGTAAGCACCCTTAGTTAAACTAATAAACAAAACCAACACAACAGTTGTTTGTAATAATTCACAATTACAGCTATGTTGAGAACAAATTATGCCCAACACTTCTCTTGACGCCATTTTATAATTACATAGGAAATGTTATGTTAACATATAACGTTAACATCAATTGACGTATATTTTGTATAATGTAATAATAACACATTACATCTTCTTAAATCGTACATTTATGTAAATTTCTATAAGGAAGGTTATAAATGCAATATAACAAAACTGCTTATATTATCTGAAAACAGAATATACAAACGAATGTGCATAGTCATTTCGCAAGCTGTATTCGCACTTTGAAAAACAGCAATACACAATATCAAAAGCGGCTTTTTAATACATATTTTATGCGTCTTTATGATAAAACAAATTATGTTAATATTTGAAGATCCTATAACACAAATGTTTTTTATGGTTTTGTATCATAAATATGATGCTTAAATTAAGATTTATCAATTCTGTAAGTTCCAAAAAAGCATTATTTATAAAGATGTTACTAAATTTAACATTTTCGTAAATAAGGGGAGGTAATAAAAAAATTATTTTCTATAAAGTCTAAGTCAAATTTTTCAATAAGAAATGAATGCATATATGTATTTTAATGATCACATATTATATGTTCAAATGTTTGCAGTACATATTTCACATATGCTTCGATGATTGAAAATTGTTTTATAAGCATAATTATATACATATATATAATTTCACTTAACTGGTATACAACCCCAATTACAACAATGGTAACCTTTTATGAGTTAATAAAAATGGATTTTTGCCATTAAACCTTATTGGCTTATTCTTATCAGACAAAAATTGATGGGACAGACTATAAAGTCAAATAGCGGTCATAAGAGTATATGTATTGAAAATTATTGCATATATTGCTGTTTAAACTGCAACCAATACTACTTTATGCAAGTAAAAAATGTGAAATCTGGTTTTGTATGAACATATATGTGAAATTTTCTTAATTTAAAGTAAGATCGTTTCAATGCTCACATGTTGAATACAGATTAGGCCGAGGAAGGAGCGTAGATAGTAGCTTGCAATTTCCACCATTGAGAAACGAGATAAAACACATATGTCAAAATGATATGTAAAAACAGTATGTAGCAACAAGGAAAAACCAATTTAAGAGTACATGTATCTCTGTAATGGTGTACACATTTACAAAAGGTTAATAACGGAAATCAAACAATGTTAAGTGGTTTACATAACGCTGTTACTGACATGGTTACATTGTTTCAAATAGAACAGTGTCTCGATGTACCAATACAATATTGTTTTACCTCTGTGTTAACAAGATTGTAGATGAAATATTTAATTGCCCTTTGTCATTGTTATCCTCCTTTATGTGTTGATAGCTTGCGCTATGAATAAAAGTGACTAATGTTTCTGTTTTATATGTTTTGTAATAACTGTGAAAAAACAAACAATTTTACAGCATGTACTGAGCTTTATTGTATTAATTATATGACATTATAACACGTAATTCTGTGAAAATATGAGCCAAACGAATGTTATATAATTATGTATTTCTTTACATTATTTTTATTCTTGAAATTAAAAATAAAATAGTATAAATAGTATCAATAACTCTATAATGTCTGAGTCTTTCTGAAAACTAAAAAGATCAACATGTGTTGCCATAATTGATGTAAAAGCCATCCAGTAACACCAATTAGTATCTAATTATCTAATTCCTTTTGTTTCAATATATTAAGATGTTTAAAATTGATTTCCGTAAATAATTTCAAGAACAAAAATAGTTGTTAAAATTTAGCCAATTGTATTTTATGCCTTTTTTGGGTTAACAACGCTTTACATACCCGAATTTTATTTTAAATTGCAATGCGGTAGTAATACTTCTTTAAGTTTTCATCAAATCAAACACAACGCACCTTTTTAACAAACCTTGTAAAAAGTCAATGTCAATAGTCAATATAAAAAACATATTCGTAATGCATCAATTAAAAAAATCAACGCTGTAAAAAGTAAGTACAGCTTTCAATTATGTTCATAAAAATTATGCAACGTCCAATTGTCCTTTTTTGTTTCAAACATCACTCCTGTTAAATAAGCACTTTTATTCAATTTCTGGGGTTATTAAATTTTGATGATTTACTCATATATTTTATTGCTTATGCTTCTATGTTCTTTTAAAACAGGTGAGACTATATCAATTTTATTACACAGCCAATAGCCATTTGCATATCTTAAGTTTACAAATGGGGTCATTTTTAAGTTATTTATGACATAAGCCATATTTTAACAAGTGATTCTAAAGTTACAGTTTAGTTTTATTTATTAGGTTTAAGACATTATCAGAAAAATATGTCAGTTGCTTTGCCCATTATAGAATATGTTAGTCAATGATTTATTATATTGCTTTGTCTCCGATATATATGGCGCTTCTCTCTTGTACAAAGGCATTTTAGTAAAACGGGAAAGACTTGTAACTTGCGTGTAGCCTGTGATGGGATTGTCACTTGTGTTAAACATTGTATTGTATCATGCAGATAAATGTCACTGTGCTTTTAGAGATACATTATTTAAAATGTAAAGTGTATATTGGACAAGATCTTAAGGACTTCACTCATGTAAAACATGTTTATAAAATATTCATATATATAAACAGTGAATAACAAACTGGTCTCCTCAACAAGTGTTGTTTTTTTTTAATTTGGGGATTACTTGCTTTGGTATATTTAAATTCCCAAACTTCAGACAGTGTTTACGGAGAGTATTTTAATCTTCATTAATGTCGATATACACTATTTTGGTTTAAACAACATATGTCTGTTACTATTTGAAGTTTACGTAAGTGATTGTATTTGTTAAATATTTGTTGTCGACGACATAATTTATTTCAAATCATTCGAGAACTCCGTATCTAAATTAATAACAACAATAACAGCATCTGTTGCCACGTAAAGATATACCTTGCTGATAATGTCTTCAGTTTGCAGTTTTTCATATAAAAACTTAGTAATGTTAACACATGGAGCTTATAATTAACGCATATTTAATTCGACTTGAGTTTCTATGTTTAAGATTGAAAAGCCAGTACAAGTATATAATTACAACAATACTTCCCGCTAGTATACCAAAGTACTCGTTTAGCTTGTTTATTAAATACCCTTCGTGGACACAGAATAGATTAATATACAGGTAAATTCGTTGCTGGAAGAGAGCACTTAAAGCAAAAACAAATATTTGAAATTTGTCAGCTTATTTGACGCTGGTCATTGGAGATTTTAGAAGTTCTACGTCTCACGTCCCTTAGCATCGGCTTAAACGGTATTTAATCCTCGATACTTTTGGATTTACAATTACTTATCCATTAACGCTGGTATTAAACAAATGCATCTAATTAGTACTAGTTCTAAAATCTTTTTGCTGGGTTAGCATCAAGGGAACAGTTACTTAAATAATAAATCGTTTTAAACCAAAATAATTATAGCACTGTTATATTTTTTGAAGAACTAGTGATTTTTTCAACTTTGTTTGACTGTTTGAATGGATTCATAGCTTAAAGACGAGTTTCTTGTTATACCTCGCTAAACACTTCGAGTTTAAAATACGAGATAGCTAAATCTTAGAATACACATTATTTTCCTCTCAGTAATCAATCAGGGATTTTGTTTCAACAGACACAAAAAGTTATTTATAAATAAAATTTATCACGAACTTGTAGTAGATCATGTCATGCAATGAGGAAATGTTTGACAGTGAAATATTTATTGAAAGCGATACAAAATTGAGTATTGTCTCGTTTTCTGTTAAAAATGAGGATGTGAAGCTCTTGTCCAATTCTTAATCTCGGATGGACTTCTCAATCATGATGTTTAATAAGAGGTTAAAGTAGTGATCAATCAGACACTATTGATATCATAATGTTTGTTAAATATACAATGTATTATCAAAATCTTATCATAATTTGATGTTGCTATTGCATGTAATTTGTCTTTGACTGTCAAATATACATTAAAATTATGTTTTATGTTTCTGCTTTTTTCAGAATCCTATTAGACGAAAATGAATACTAGCACCACTGAGGCGCATCATGTCGGTGGTCTTTACTACACCGATTACAATTTGCTGGACTTTATAGAGCAGTTAAAGACGGGCAACAAAAGTGATTTACCCGAACTTTCGTTCTTTTCAAATTCTACAAATGACTTGGATATTCCATGGCTTAATCTATTACCGCGAGTGCGACATAAACAACGAACTGTCTGGGACTACTTACTTGAAGTGCATGGTCCAAGGCGAGGTCCTCTTGCTACGGTCATTGCAATCACGTGCGTGTATGGGTTTATATTCTTATCAGGAATATTTGGAAATGTGTGCACATGCTTAGTTATTGTTAAAAATAAATATATGCACACGGCAACAAATTATTACTTGTTTAACCTTGCCATTGCCGATTTGTTGTTGCTCATAGTTGGACTGCCACCAGAAACTTATTCAATCTGGTCAGCTTATCCTTGGATATTTGGCGAGGCATTCTGTATTGTACGGACAATGCTTGCTGAAATGTCAACTAATGCTAGCATTTTAACAATCACTGCATTTACAATAGAAAGGTAGGTACTAGTTTGTATTATTTTCCTTAAAAATACATTTTTATTAATATTATGATAATAATAATTTTAAACACAGGAAGCACAATGTTTAACAATGATTTGTGAGTTCTTTATAGATTCTTTTTTTTTCTCTATTTTACTCCATTATTGTACTTATAAGACGATTTGAATCGAAAATTGTTTCAAGTAAGCTCCGATAGTATGCTTTATTTATGACAAATGTGTCATATCTTCTAACATAGTGTGTAAGGAACGTTAATGACCATTTATGCCCAAGAAATGCTTGAAATTTATGTTTATTTCTCAAAAGCTGTTTATTTTTGGCATCTTCTCAAACTTCCAAAAAAGTTATCATTGGCCAATTATCTTAACATTCTTTTGCTTCTGTTCCATTTTGCAATAAGTACAATTATAGTGATTTAGTATTTTGTATGGAAGTCAATATGCTACTCTTAATTTTGCTAGTTTAAAGACAAAAAATGTCACATTCAGTAGTATCTTCTGCTGGTTAGCATCTAAAGTACACTATATACATTATTTAAACATTTAAAAACCAATGATTCCACTTTCTGAAGAAAGGAAACTTAAATCATTCTAACACATTATGTGCCTTTAAGCAACGTCATTATTGTTTTTCTAACAAATACGTTTTAAAGATTGAAATATTGGTTTTAATTTTTGTTGTTAACATTTTCAGTTTGCAAAAGTTAAGTTAAATACAATTATAATTATCATCAACCATACATTTTCTTTCAAAGTACCTTATAAGATAGTTATGAAAATATGAAGAAAAAAAATAGAGCGTCATAAATAAAATTATTCGAGGTATTATTCTAGGAACAACACAAGACTTTGTTTATTTCCCTTTATTCAAAAATATATTAGACTGTCACAGAGAAGATACATCAACATATTCAGGATACTGATAACAACGTCACATAGTCTAAAAAAGAAAACAAAACACATGATTTTTTATTTACTACCAATGTCCCACGCGTACCTTGAAGTGACTACAGTGTCAAACGTATCGCAAATAACGGCATCATTTAGTGATATCATGTAAATGTATCCTTGATCCATGCGAATAAATAGCAAAACAGACAAAGTATTTTCCGCTGGGATTCTTTCTGATTCCAATGTCATATCTAGTTACATTTGAACGATCGTGCTTGTCACGTCAAGTTGCTATTTTTGTCTTTAGATGATTATTGTATTATGATCCAAATGTACTTAAGTCCTTAGATTGACATTGGTGGTACATTAACCTAGATTGTTTGACTTCTAGTAAAATTCGTTTCACACTTATAATGTGCATAGTGGTAAATTGTTATTTTTTTATTAATATATACATGTATATATACAGTAACAAAAACTTAAACAAGTATTTGAGAAATAAGTCCCGGTGTTGAAATTATAACCAGTCAATTATGTGTATCATAAATATAATCATAAATAAGTAAAAAAAGTCATAACATTATGTGATAATCACGGAATATTTAAATAACAACATTTCAGACAAAATCATCCATTCACCACATTTAATGTTTTACAGATAACACATTAATTGCACAAGCTAATTAATCAAAAATAATAACGAAACTGCAAGAAATATCTGACAGCTTAATATAATGTTCCAGATGACATAAAACCATAGTTCCTTCTGTTATTTAAAAAGTTTTCTGTATCAACTTTGTGGCGTATGGTATTTGAACTTGATCGTATATTTTCTTGATATTTAATTGGGTAAATATGATTTATTTTCTAACTAATTGACACAAAGTATATAAAAAGAGCTCATTACTCTCATTACATTCAAAATTTGTCTTGATCTTGCTTTGTCAAAGAGTATGTATTTCAAATTGATATTGCCAGTAATGAAATGTAAGAGTATATCTTGACATTATAATACTTTTATTATATGATCTATAATAGCTGGAACAGAGCGGATTATAAAATCTTAGTCAATGGGAGATGTGTGATGGTAACTTGCTGAATTTTATTTCCTATTCTAAAAATAAAATCAAGCTCATATTTGGCGAAATAGATACCAATTTCGAGTGCATTGTTGTAGAATAATGCACGGTTCGAGTTCAAATGCGTAAGAATATAATTACGAAGCCCGATATGCATTTTAATGATAAATTTCAATAGCCCATTCTCGTAAGTGTGCATATACAATCATTTTCTTTCATTCTTAATATCTTACTACTTCACCAGAAAAGTAAAAAGTTAAACTGCAATTTTAAGAACATTGATTACATTTGTTTAACCAGCGTTCGCGTAGCAATTGCTCGTCTGACGTCACTTTTTTGCAAGCGTTTTTTTCCGCGCTTGACTGAAAATGGTCCAAAGCTTCTGTTTTGTTATATCCACTTTTGTGTTGTTCATCTTAGGCTTATAATACATCATATTAATAATTCACTAGTCAATAATTGTAAAGTATAGATTATTATACATAATATGCCAATTTGATGAAATAACAACAATTATTTAATGTATTCAACTAAAATTTAAACTCGTGCTTCATAGTTTACGGTTATGATTACAGTACAACAAAATACTAAAAGTGCTGTATAAACTATTATCTTCATATTTTTTTGAACCGCCTTTCTCTGTTTTTCAGATATGTTGCTATTTGCTATCCAATGAAGGCACAGACAATGTCCGGTCTTAAAAGGGTAATTCGTGTAATTGTCGCCATATGGTTTCTGGCAGCAATTTCCTCAGTCCCCCTTACCGTCCAGTTCAAGGTCGTTTATGCCGTGGATACTCGTAACTCAAACATTCCAGAATCCGCTTATTGTGGCATTGGTGAAACTAATCATATTGAACGAACTTTTGAAATATCAACTTTTTTATTTTTTGTGTTTCCCATGACACTGGTCAGTGTAATGTATACACTTATTGCATTAGCCATCCGAAAATCAGGACTGTACAGAGACGGTTCCGATGCCTCACACAGAGACCGGCTCACAGGGGTTGAAATACGAGCTCAACAGCAAGCGAGGGCAAGGAGGTCTGTTCTTAAAATGCTTGGTACGTATTTATTCAAGTTTCTGTAAGTCATTAAAAACAAAACTATAAACCAATTCCATAGTGTATCACATATTTAGTTTGTATAAAGGTTAACGATCAAATTCTCTTATTGCTGGACATATCAATTTCCAGTTACACTATACAATAATGACATTTTGATTTGCGTCTAACAAGTCCTAATTACATGATTGGCTCCTACACGAATATTGAATGATATGTCACGTCAATGTAAATGACAGCTGTCACAGCAAATTGTTGACAACAAACAAATACAATCCCAAAGATAAGTCTCGAGATGAAGCCACAATTGTTGTTATTGTTTTTATGGTAATTGTATTGGAATATATCTTTCTTAAGTAATAACGTTTATGAATATACGTAATATAGTTAGAATGATACGCTTAGCCTTGTTGTACTTACATTCTTGTTATATTTAAAATACTGTTTAAAGATATTCGAGATATCAAATCCTGCAAAACGCTTACGTTGGAAATAATATAAAAAATTTGAAGAACCATTTAATAGTACAGCTTGGTTTGTATTCTATTGATTTTGCAGTGGCGTTTACTCTGATAATAAACAGAAACTTATTTTGAAAATGATGGAGTATGAAATTGAACTTATGACTTACGTCTGTGCTTATATTTCTTTCATTATGTTCTCCGACGCTTTAAGGGATTGTACATATTGGTTCTACTTTGAAGAGAAAAATTGCTTCCTTATTGTACTAATAATTATATGAAAAATCAATTAATTTAAAAGTAGCATATTCATGTTTGCATGTTATGTATTATACCACATATTGCTATTTTCTTATTTCATTTTATAGATCTTACTTTTAACAGACACCCATGAACCAAATAACCCTACTATGTCATAATATTTTCTGATCCTGTCAGAATCTAAAATAGAATAGTATAAAATACTCTTGTCTGGGAAAATGTTTTTGTTGATGTAAATTATGTTTCTTTCTGACCGTTCTTGTGTGGGAAAATATATATTTGGTCTTGTCGATTGCCACTTATGTGTATGACTGCTTAATTAACAGATGCATGTGTTCGTGTCAGCATCATTGAGACGTTATGCGTTTGCTTTGCATCTGATATCATTCCAGTATATAATTGAGTAATCAAATTTTTTACAGTCACTGTATTAAAATAAGTATAGCTATTTCGTTGCTTGTAATGAAAGTATATTGCTATGATTACCTTTAAGTTTGTTATCTGTCTGCAAATGTGTATGCAAAATAAATCAAGAAAGGCTAAGCAGCGGAATTAAAATATTATTTGGTTAGATGCATGGCAAATGAACAAAAAATGAGTCTCTAGGCAGGTTACTAAAAATCGTGCAATTGCGTGAAACACGGTTTCTTTATTTTTCAGTGGCCGTTGTGGTTGCCTTCTTTGTTTGCTGGGCTCCTTTTCACGCACAGAGGCTCATGACCCTCTACATCCCGGCCGCTAAATGGACTGAAAAACTTCTAGAAGCCCACAAAGTTATTTATTACGTATCGGGTGTGTGTTACTTTATAAGTTGTACAATAAACCCTTTATTGTATAGCATCATGTCGTTAAAATTCAGACAAGCTTTTAAACAAACTGTTTTAAGACCAAAATGTTGCAAGAAGCACATTCATACGGCAAAGAAAAGGACTTATTTTTCAAATAGGTTTACACATAAGAACGGTTATTCTGAAACAAGTTTTACTTCAGTGGAACCAGTTTCCCCTGCAAGAAGTTGTCACTCACATTCACACTCTCACTCCAACTCAGATCATAGTGCAGATCATGCGCGTTTGAATACGAAAACCACGGGAGTAAACAAGGTGCAACGCCGTGTCAGTGCTCATGTTGACGAGAAAGTTGCTTTAAACTGTGATGCTAAGCAAGAGAAAGACATTGCAAATAATGATATAAAAATGGTGTGTAAAATGTTGACAACTTATAAACCAAAGGAAATGGATAATACTCAAAATCAGGGAGAGTATGTTGGTTTGTATAACAAAATAGAAGCTGTTAAAGAGGAACATTTCTAGAAAATCTTGAAAGTGTCTTCGACATTCTTTGTTAACATTGTATTAAAAAAATCCGGTTTTGTCAAATTGATAATGTATAAAAAAATGTTTATTTTGTATTCTTTTTGAAGAAATACATAAACCATGTTTATATTGTACACAGTGTGTGATCTAAAATATACACAGATAAAATCTGAGTTACTGATAATTTAATGTGGACATCAAACTTGAAATAAAATCTATTAAACAAATATTTTGTGATAGTCGGTACATTTAAAGTGGAGGAAAATCAGGGAGTCTTAAGTCATCATTGAAAGAAGGTTTCACGATTTTTTTAGGTAATGATAATATTTAAATATGGTAATTCATAAAAGATTGATGAAAGGACAATGTGTATTACACAGTGTCATTTAAATGCACTCTTTATCTCAAACTCGATATACTCTGTTCTTTTCTGAAAAAGATTTCTTTCTATTATTTTGGTATCCTGTTTTAGTTTCTCAAGTCACTAAATTGTCATTCGTTAAAGCTGGGCCATTATTTGCTTAAAGCTGAGCCATGCATTGTGGTCATACATATGAGAACTAAGAAGAACAGTGAAATGCGTCATTCACAGAAGGCAGCCCACGACAAAACCCGGCAACACCAAACACCGGAAGAAGTCTAAATTCCACTGTGTTCACATTGTGCTAGCTTGATGACAAATTATTTGATATCCAGCGCTATCTTCTATGCTCTAAGTCAGTTATGAAGACATTGATGTGTTAAACACATGTTTGTCATTTCTTTATACGAACAAAATATATATTATGTGGTTTTATGTGTCTCTAAGACCTAAACATTATTATTGCAAAACGGTCAGATGCTTTGTTGCTATTTATCAGACTTTTATATACCTAAATGCCCATTTTGTTTTTTTTCTTTTTAGAATAAAAGGTGTTACCGTCTTCATGTCAAACTTTTAGAACAATATATTATTTTAAGACAGATGATGAAACTTTCTATTCAGATGAAGAAAACACTACGTCTAGAATATATTCTTCTTACATCAGAAGTATTCTGCTCTTTAACAGATGAGTGTTAAATTCACCTGTCAATATACAGAATTTCATTTGTGAGATAATATTTTATATACTGATGGTTTTCTGGCTTATCAGATGAAATGTTTAAATCGTTAAAGAGGCCCCATGTGTTCATATCCATGTTTGCATGCGGTTTTATGGCAAATTGTTCATCAGTTTCACATAAATTGTTATCATCATGGAATTTCAGTTCAGTGTTTTTTCCTGATAAAACTTTTTTATATTTATCACAAAATACTGTTTCGTTGTTATGATAAGGTCTGAAAATAAAGCACTAGAAAAATATAGTTTAAGACTTTATTTGTTGAATTTATATCTTGGCATGATTAAGTCAGCTTCAATTGTGAGATTAGTTCCAAGAACAAACTTCAGGAATTGTTTCAAGTATTTTTAAATTAATCCCACAATAAACATAAACGTAAAATGTGAAAATATAACTTGACGACTGAGCGCAGTTGTTTAGAATTCGGTTTCGACAATTGCTGCAATACTGTTCTGCAACGAAGATACTGTACAAAATAGAATGACCTGAAAAGAAAGAAATGTATACACCGTTTACTTAGACATAAATAAAGATTAAAAAGAGGATATCCATAAGGACTAGGTCCAGTCTATCATATTTTTCACAAATGTTTCCGGATTATGATAAGGATTAAAATTAAAAACTCAAATAATTTCACTTTTTTTTCCTTCACAAAGAACTAACTTATACGCAATATAATCTTGATAATGTTTAACTTAAAATGAATGTTTACCAAATATCAGGATAACGTTATTGTAACTTTTCAAGATAATGGCATTTTAATGTTCATCCAAGTAGTGGTCTGGAGACTAAACAAGTATCCATCGTTTTAAAGTTGATTCTTGCATCGATCCTCGTCCTTTTGATCCTACAATAGAAATTTCTTTCAAAATCTGCACTTTTTGTTGTTGTTGTCCTTTGTTTTGATGTTTTTGTTGTTGTTTTTTTTATTTAAGCATAATACGATCAATTATTACTAATTTTTTAAAAATAAAGCAATCCAAATCCGTTTCAAAGTAAACACGAGGCCAGAATAGATTAACTGAAGTCATTTCAGTCGGCACACACTCGAGCAAATTGTTAATTGTTTCATGTATATATTTTCTAAAACTAAACCTTGTTCGTCGACATTTATTCGCTTATTTATTTACATTTTATGTATAACAATTACTAGAATATTTTCTTTTGCAAAGTATATCATTGTTTATCATAAACACGCTTTTTCGTTAACATGAAATGCCCATGTGATACTCAAAACACGATTTAATGCTTAAGCACTAATCTAGTAAGATTGATTTGCAATATATTAAATTATATTAAACTTAAGGTGTAATGTAATGATTAAAAAACAAAATAGAGAAAAACAGAATACCTAAAATGAGTCCAACACGGCAAAATTGAAAATGCTGCTTGAGCATGTACATGGACGATACTGGAAAATGCAACCTTGTCATTTAAATTTCTTTATTCCTTTATACCTTCTCATAACGATAGATATCTGAATGTATTTGTATATTAAATGTACATATTACAGAAGCAAATGATTTTATATATAGTGCTTCCTTATACAGATTACATTCACCAGACAGCATATGATTTCCGACCCTCAAAGTCTCACCATTTAGTCTCCCTTTAAGCTAATTTGATACTAAAAAACAATTCTCCCGAGTTACCAAAGATATCATAGCACTCTCAGTATCCTCATTTAAGCTGATGTTATTGATATTCCTCCTCTACTTCGTTGTTAGACAAACAATTGATAATGTCAATAAATTAAGCAGGAAGATGTTCGAGTACATACCATTGCAAGCATCAATACTGGTAAAGATTTCTCAAATTGTAACGTGAGGTTTAGTGCTGATCTCTGTTGACTTTCAGTTTTTTATCACAAAGAATTATAATTATTTCATAAATCAGTAAATGATTAAAATATTTCCAAAGGAAACCGTTTCATATACACAATGAATATCTAAATGTCTTACAATTTAAAATAAAATTAATAAAATATTTTATTTCTTTTACAATTATAAACAAGAAAAAATAGTCTTCCTTATAATTAAGTAGTATCCCTCACAGAGCAAGTGCTTGCTATCAAAGATTAATAAATTTGTTTTCTTACAAGAGAATATAATATAAAAAGTTTCACCCACATCTTTCTTAACTCTTTCAAGCATTACGTGCAATGTTTTAAAATTGCAAATGTCTGATAAATGGTATATAATTTAAGTTAATAAAGCTTTTAAATTAATTCGGGAAGGAAATCAGAAATAACCCGCCGGGAATTTTAATGTCTTTTCATACAATTTAGTGAATGCCACCACGATAACATAGTTGTCTTGCATGATACAGTAACATGTTTTAGGGTATTCATATCATTATTTTAATCATCATTTATTTGTTTTGCTAGTGTTTACTCGTAATTAACAGAATTGAAAATTGAAAAACGTGTTGCAGTATTCTACGAGTACGTGTAAATTTTACCGTTGATTTTGAAAATTGTCTGATATTTCAAGGCCATGGATATTTCAACTTAAATGCAGCTTTAGTTATTCACGTAACAGGATAGGTGTTTAATATATAAAAATCTGGAAACAAAGTGATCACTTTGGAAACATTATTATATGTTTTGGTTTGGATTTAGTTAACAGCGCACAAACACAATTTAGGTCATGTGGCGCCGAAATAGAAAAAGTGACCTTGGCTAACTTCGGTTGTGACAAACATAAAGCAACACACTATCTCACATTCTGGAGTTATAAGAAGCATAGACTACAGTATAATTCGAACCTATTTATTTGCCTCTTACGATCACGCAGGCGATGCACCGCTGATGACTCAACCCTTAAAAACAACCTCTTAGCCACGAGGGGTAATACATAAATAAGATGTATCGTTTATTTATACATAACAAATTTGGGAAAAAACTGTATGAAACTGTTTAATTGAGATAATTTGTTGGCAGGTCGAGGGTGCTGGGTTTACGCCATTTTAACACATTTTTATCATATCTCTGCGGACGATCCAATTGACCGGTTTTCCAAGGATTACACATTGATTATCGATTTCTAATCGAAAAATAATCCCACATAAATTCTGATGATAGGAATATATGCTGTATTATAACTTTGATAAGACATATATTTAATATCAAGTTATAATAAAGTATTTTTCCTAATGATTGATACTAATTAAACAAAATACAATATGTTGTGACGATACAGAACAAGCTTAATATACAATACATTGTATATTGTTCATTTTTACGTTTATAGCTTTTTTGATGTTTCGTGTAGTCAAAAGTGATGACAATTCTTCAATTGTTGCGGAGTCACGTGCTTGTTATTGAATCTGCCAAAAATATTTAATAGTTTCCTTGTCATTTTCGAATTCAATTTAATATATAAAAACAACAGTATTTCGTTTTATTAAATGAAAGCAATTATCCAGTTTATAACAAAAGTGTTAGATTAAATATGTCAATCAAGGCTATGCCGTTTTGGCAACATAATTATTTAATGAAATGATGTTTTTTTATAAGTGGTAATTTGACAAACTCAATTATAGATTTATACGTATTGCACTAAACAGTTTAAGGTTTGATCTTATATGTTAAAATAAACTTTAAGGTACTTACATACTGGGACATAAAATATTATCGTAAGTTCAAGTTAAGTAAAAGTGTCATTATTCCTGCCCAAGTTTAAATATTGAGAGTCCGGGTAAAAGAAAAAGAAAATGTTACATTTTTTCCATAATTGTTTAACAATTTGTATTCTTCTTCACGAAACAATTAATAACCCACATGATTCATGAAAATTTCTATAATACCAACAACCAGAATATATCTGTAATGCTTAATTGATAAAAAAGGGGGGACAGGCCTTATATATTTTAGGCAGTTCTTATATTTTCATCCTCTTTATTTTATTTTCATTATCATTTATTTATTTATTTATTAGGCCAATGATCATAACAATAGTAAATCTTTTGAAATACATAACTAATTTAAGCTCGACTTGACCACAAAGAATGAGCATAATGCCACTTTAAATCAATTATATAGTTTTGACTGAGCAAGTTCAATGTACAGTTTCGTTGAGAGGTAACCAAGGTCATTAAGATAGTTGTCTATTACGCAAATTAACCCGGATAAGTGTTTTCAGTATTTCAGAACAAAATGCCATTCTTTTCCCCGTCAACATGACATAATATGAATCATTTATTTAGAACATCAAATTCAATTTTGTCCTGACATACCGAACATATATATCTCTGGTTTTGTTCCCCTATTATATATATGGCACCAAACAAAAAACGAAAAAAAAAACGGAAAAAGACATTGATTTACGCACTCTCTCTCTTTTAAGCAGATGAGAGAACATTCCGCCTCCTACTATACTGGATTTCATTTGCAAGATAAAATTTGATTTACGAAGATAACTACCAATATCTATAATTAAGAGAATA